CTCTAAAGTTAAAGTGTCTTCTAAGTTGTTCTATTATTTTATAATAGAAGAGTTAGAGTCTGTTTGGATGGGCTTATAGCTTCCGACTTAAAAAGTTAAGAGTTACACTTAGAAAGTCACTAAACTTAGTTTTATAACCCAAAAGTCACTCAACTATTTAGAAAGTCACCCAACCATTTTAAATTTGATTAAATTTTGTTGAAATGAAAATTTTATTTCAAGCTAAATTTCTAAGAAATAATAAGATACCCATTTTAACCATTTTAAAGAAAATTTTATCATCTAATTATATGCACACATAATTTGTTTTAATTATGATCATACTTATGGTATTCTTCTAACATAAATGTTTTATATTAGATGGTAGATTTTCACCCAAGAATGGGAATGCGGATTTGTAGTTGACAACTTAAAATTTGACTGAAAGTTTGTAGGTGCTTCTTGGAATTGGTTACTCCAAAGAAGAAGTAGTAGATTTTTCTTTGCTTGATTTGTGGTTCATTCATCAGCCACATCCGCCGGTGGATGATAACATTAATTGATTTATAGGTATGTATTGACGAAAGATCACACCTTTGAATATGCATTTATGATCCACAACAATAAATTTGTCTGAGAAACCAATTTTAAGATTATTTTGTGAAAAATTCAATTTGTTAATGAAAAGGGTAAATGTATATCATTTATTAGACAACGAGAGTATATATACACCATGTTGGTGTGACATGGTATGTAACATCTCGCATTTTGAATAACTAGGAAGAAGCTAAGAATTTGAAAGTCATTTTTGGAAAGAACTAAAAATCTGGAAATTTGTTTAAGTTAAGAAAAGTTGAGTTTTGGTCAACTTCAAACGGTCATAACTTCTATCTCAGGATGAGTTAGAGGTACTTCCAGATATGGTTGGAAAGCTCTTGGAGCTATCTTTCCAACGCCGTCGAGTTTGCGCGACTCCAAGTTCATATGTGTGAGTTATGCCCTTTGGAAGTTGGGCTGTTGGAATAAGGAAAGTCCAATACGGATTTTTAAAGGGTAGTTTGGTCTTTTCCTTACCCTTTTATTTTAATTCATTTTTGGTGATTAATTAGGGGTCTAAGCTGAATTAGATCAGTTTACACTTTTACCAAAAGAGTTAGGGTTTTGAGAGGAGAAAAGAAGAGGAGAAAAGAGGAGAAAGGAGAAAACATTCAAGATTCGTCAAGATTGTCGAAGTTTAGCTTGTGGAATTCGTCAGGGGGTGATCCCTAAAAGGTATGTGAGATCACATAGCATTGGGTTAATTCGCCCACACGACAATGATGTTTTATTTCAGCGAATTTAAGTTCTTGAAAGCTTAGAAATTGAATTTTTGATGGGTTTGTTGAAGTTCCATTAAATTCTTGTTTCGTTGAGGAGTCGTTTGATTCGAATCCGCGATCTTTGGTTCGATTTTGAGTAGAATCTGATATACTTTGAACAAATAATCGATTCTAAGTATTTGGGGAAGGAACCCATTGAGTTTAGAGGGTTTAGAGTTGAAAAATGAAGAAGAAATTTCATTGGTTGATATTTGGAGGTGCCTCCGCGTCGCGCAGCCAGTCCCTAGTTTTGGGATTTTCTGTTTCGCGTCGCGGAGCTGACACGGAGTGTCCTGCCTCAAAATACGTTTTTGAAACCAAATTTTAAAAGCTTCTCCGCGTCGCGGACTCACTCTCAGATATTGAATTTTGGTTTTTTCTCATGTTTAGCCATCTAAAATCATTCCTAAACAACATGAGATCTTTCCAATCACAAATAATAAATCCTTGAATCCATAATTCAATTCAAGGACTAGTTAAGAGTCAAGTCAAGAGTAGTTAAGATCAAGGTCAAGAGCAATGAAGAGTCAAGTTAAGAGAAGTTCATAAAGTTTTTCAAAAGTCTTTTTACAAACGTTTTAACTTTGTTTAAAGACTTAAGTTTTGAGTTCAGTAAAGAGTAAAGTTGAAGTTCATTTCTTCAAAAGTATATGGGGACTAAGTAATCCCAAAGAGATTTAAAATGTTTTCACATTTAAATAAGAACGGAAACTGAGATTTCCAAAGAGCCTTCGGCTAGTTTTCAGAAAAGAGTAAATGTTTTCTTAATTAAACATGAGGGGAAACTTTGATTTCCAAGATAACCTTTGAGCTAAGTTTTTGAGCACTAATCTCAATTCACAGAAGAAATATGTTTTTAAACATAAAGAGCTAGTATCATATTTTGGGAGTAGTATTGAGCACTGATATGGGGACGCGAGTTCATAATAACTCGAGTCTCCATAAACCATGTAGCCATCATGGGTAGAAAAGGGTCATACTTTTTAGATGAACCCTTATTGGTTTTTAGCATAGACTAGTGGGTCCACTTAGTAGTTCAGGTCCTATACCCCGGCAAGGTGTAGGATGGCCCGGGCAGTGTGGGGCTAATAACGATGTATCATCAATATAGCTCTTAAGTGATGGTGGTCGATTAGAGAAACTCCCACAACAGTAATTGCATGGTTCCTCAAGGGGTTCTGCTTAGTATGAATTGGGGTATGGGACTTCATTTATGTATTGCACAAGTAGACTTTGAGAGGGAGCATAGTATGTCTTTTATGATATTATTATTATGAGCTGACAACATGTTTTAAACAGTTTTCTTTTTTTCTTTATATTGCATTTGTTTTAAACTACTTTATAATGAAATGAGTTCAGTTAAGTATTCATGAGTTGAGAAGAGCCAATGTAAGTGTTTCTTTCAGAATCTTTTCAAGCCTATGGTGTATTTAGCATTCCAACTCGCATACTCGTACATTCAATGTACTGATGCCAGTTGGACTGCATTGTATTATGATGCAGACATAGGTAACTAGGATCGGCATCCAGCGCATCGTTGATCCATTGAGCAGTTCAGAGTCTGTTGGTGAGCCTCTTTGCATTTCGAAGGATCCATTTTCATTGCTTTCAGTATTAGCTTTAGTTCATTAGGATGTCGTGGGCCTGTCCTGACATCCATCTCAGTTGTTTAGAGGCTTCATAGATAGTCAGCCAGATGTTAGTTCATTCGTCATCATTTTGTTATTGGCTTATGTTCAAAGTTGAGTTGCCATTTTGGCTAAGTTAAATGTTTATTTTTAAAACATTATGAGTTCAGCTTGAGACATGTTGAGTTATCTTGTAATTGGATTCTCTTTCTTATGTCTAAGTCTTCCGCTGAGTAAGTAAGTCAGGCCAAGGGTTCGCTTGGTGCTAGCAATGGTTCTCAAGTGCCGGCCATGTCCAGGGTGTAGGCTCAGGGAGTGACATAGTATAATACACCAACACGCCATTTGTTAGCCGATGGAGGTATATATGCATCACTTTATAATGAGGAGTTTATCTGCTCTAAATCGCAAAGTTGAGGGGTATATTTGACACTTTGCCCTAAAACAAAAATAAAAATAAAAAATCACTTCTGTTTGATGAAAAGATATATGTGAGCCACTTTTATTATAGTATAAGTATATATGCAAGCCACTTTTATGATATAATTAATTTTTATGTTGTAGCTTTTATTTGAACTTTTATTTGCAATGACTTATGCATTGACGTGAGAATATGTAAATTTATTAGAACTATTAGAATATAAGTTTGATCATCATCAAGTTAATATACAATCAGGTGCATAAACCAAACAACAATTTTATCCTAACTAATAAAAGATGATTTCTGACTAGAAATGTTTTTGTCAAGGTCTATACACCAAGCAACTCTCTTATCCTAACTATTTGGAAAATGAGAGGAATTCCCTCTATTTATAGACAACAAAGGGCAATGTGAACAAATGTTAATTGTGCCTTATCGGAAAGGTTACAACTATTTGGAAAAGTTGCAACGCTTCGGAAAGGCCATAACCTTTCATAAAAGTCAGAACTTTTCATAAAAGTCGCAACTCTTCATTAAAGTCACAACTTTTCATAAAAGTCAGAACTTTTCATAAAAGTCGCAACTCTTCGTAAAAGTCAGAACTTTTGATAAAAGTCGCAACTCTTCATTAAAGTCGCAACTCTTCATGAAATGGGAAGGGTATTTTTGTAAATAAATAAATTAAAAGGGAATTCTTGTTTGTGGTGGTACCACGTAGGCGGGCCTAAGGTTCTCTTTTATATGAGGATATGTGATATATGATATGATATGATATATGATATGGTATATATAGTTATGATATGATGATGATATGATACTTTTCATATAATTAATTTTTTAGGTAACATTTATTTCAAGACAACTAAAAGAAGTTGATATTTGAATTTACTTCGAAAATTTAAATACAGACTTCATACTTTGAACTATTTATTTTCTTTGTAATAAATATCTGGGTGAGGACTACTTGCAAAGACTTGGAATGTGACATATTCGTCTACTAAGGTATCAAAGAAATTGTATTACAAGTGATAAGATTTTTTTGTTGACTGTTGTAGCTTTTATTTGAACTTTTCTTTGCATATTTGAGTTGAAATTTTTTCCAGTACTTTAATTCCTATTCATTGGCACTTCAGAGTACAAAAGAAATGTATACGATTGAGTCATTTCAAAACCAATTATAGGAAAATTTATACGACAAGCTTGGAAGAATGATTAGGAAATATGACAAGTAACCTTTTACGGGCGGTAAAGCAACATGATAGCCAAAAAATATTTTATACTGTCAATGTATATAATTTGAATCCCTTTTATGTTCATAGAAAATTGATGTCCAGTGGAATTATTTTTAAAGTATTATAACACCCTATAACATGGGAAAATCCTAAATAACATCGGACTTTTACTATTTCTATATCAACTATAGATTTTAATAGTCTTTTTCATTGTGAATCGTTTCCTTTAAATCAAGGTCTACACACCAATAAATCAATCAAAATTTTGAAGGATTTTCGACCTGAAATGTTGTTGTCAAGGTCCTTTCCCTAGGAAATTTCTTTGCTTAATTTGTGCTATATATACCTCATCTAAATTATTGAATAGAGGAACAAAGAAAAGATTTTTGATTTCTTATCTACCAACGTAAGTAGTTTTGAACATTTTAGTGCAGAAATGGGTTGCATAAAACTTGTTTTTCTTAATGCTATTTTCCTTACTCTGTCAACTTGCTTTCTGCTCATCCTTATCTCATTTGTGCCTCAAAGATCAAGCTCTTGCTCTTCTACAATTCAAGCACATGTTTACAATAAATTATGATGCTTCTGATCATTGTTTAGACATAACAGGCCAATGGATTCAGTCATATCCAAAAACTCTTTCGTGGAGCAAGAGCATAGATTGTTGCTCTTGGGATGGAGTTTATTGTGATGAGATGACAGGAAAAGTGATTGAGCTTAACCTCACTTGCAGCAAACTTCAAGGCAAGTTTCATTCCAATAGTAGCCTCTTTCAACTCTCCAATCTCAAATGGCTTGATTTGTCTGAAAATGATTTTTCCGGATCGCTCATTTCACCTAAATTTGGTGAGCTTTCTAGTTTGAAGCATCTTGATTTGTCGTATTCAAGTTTTACAGGCCTAATCCCAGCAGAAATCTCTTGTCTTTCTAAATTACACGTCCTTCGTATCCAGAGTTATCCAGATGGTCTTAGATTCAAACCTCACAATTTTGAACTGCTCCTTAAGAACTTGACCCAATTAAGAGAGCTTTACTTTTACGGTGTGAACATCTCTTCCACCATTCCTCTGAATTTCTCTTCTTATTTGACAACTCTAGACCTTCGGAACACACAGTTATACGGGACATTGCCCGAAGGAATTTTTCACCTTTCCAACTTAGAATCTCTAGCTTTATTAGATATTCCCCAGCTCACTGTTAGGTTTCCCACCACCAAATGGAATAGCAGTGCATCACTCCAAATGTTACGTCTCTATAAAGTGAATGCTACTGGTAGGATACGTGAATCATTTGGTCATCTAACTTCACTGCGTAATTTGTCAATAGTTTCTTGTAATCTCTCAGGCTCTATTCCTAAACCTCTATGGAATCTCACCAACATAGAGCTTTTGAACCTTGGTGATAACCATCTTGAAGGACCAATTTCTGATTTCTTTAGATTTGGAAATCTCCGGGTGTTATCACTTAGAAATAACAACTTTGATGGCCAACTTGAGTTCTTATCCTTTAACAGAATCTGGACTCAACTTGAATTCTTATCTTTTTCATTTAATTCCCTAACAGGTTCAATTCCTTCTAATGTAAGTGGAATACAAAACGTACAATCACTCAGGTTGTCATCAAACCACTTGAATGGGACTATACCTTCCTGGATATTCTCCCTCCCTTCACTAACTGATTTAAACTTGAGTGATAACCATTTCAGTGGAAACATTCAGGAGTTTAAGTCCCAAACATTTTTTTCTGTTTCTCTAAAACAAAATCAGCTGCAAGGTCCTATTCCAAAGTCACTCTTAGACCAGCAGAACCTATTGTATCTTTTCCTTTCACACAATAATCTCAGTGGAGAGATTGCTCCAACCATCTGCAATCTGAAAACACTAGAAGTGCTAGATTTGGGCAGCAATAATTTGGAGGGAACAATCCCACTATGTTTGGGTGAGATGAGTAGACTTCAGGTTTTGGATTTAAGCAACAATAGTCTTAGCGGGACAATTAATACTACTTTTAGTATAGGAAACAGACTTGGAGTCATTAAATTTGACGGGAATAAGCTAGAGGGGAAAGTCCCGCAATCTTTGATCAATATCACGAGTTTGGAAGTTCTTGATTTAGGTAACAATGAGTTGAGTGACACATTTCCTAAATGGTTGGGAGCCCTACCTGAGTTGCAGATTTTGAACTTGAGATCAAATAAGTTCTTTGGCCCTATAAAAGTTTCTAGGACTGACAACTTATTTGCTCAAATTCGAGTCATAGATCTCTCATCTAACGGATTTAGTGGACATTTACCCGTGAGCCTTTTCAAGAAATTTGAATCCATGAAAATAACTAGTGAAAACAGTGGAACCCGAGAGTATGTAGGAGATACAGGTTTCAATTATTACACAATTTCCTTGATAGTGACAACAAAGGGACTGGATCTTGAGCTTCCTCGAGTTTTGACTACAGAGATTATTATCAATCTCTCAAGGAATAAACTTGAAGGTCATATCCCAAGCATTATTGGAGATCTCATTGGGCTTCGGACTTTGAACTTATCTCATAATCGCTTGGAAGGTGATATACCAGCATCACTGCACCAATTATCTGTACTTGAATCATTGGATCTCTCATCCAACAAAATCAGCGGAGAAATTCCACAACAGCTTGTATCCCTCACATCACTTGAAGTCTTAAATCTCTCTCACAATCATCTTGTTGGATGCATCCCCAAAGGAAAACAATTTGATACATTTGAGAATACTTCATACCAAGGGAATGATGAGTTACGTGGATTGCCACTCTCAAAAGATTGTGGAAGTGATGATGGGGTACCACAAGGGCTAGGCCAAGGAGAAGAAGGAGATTCATCAATGGTCAGTTGGCAGGCGGTTCTCATGGGTTACGGTTGTGGACTTGTTATTGGACTGTCCATAATATACATAATGTTGTCAACTCAATATCCAGTATGGTTTTCGAGGATGGATGTAGAATTGGAACACAAAATTCTTACGAGAATTAAAAGGCACAAGAAAAGATATTAGTGTGTTACCTCCAGGTATTCAATTTGATTTTATATCAATGAATTTGCTCATCTCCTTCATCCTTAAAGCTCTTAACTTTAATTTTTCGTTTTTGAATTGCAGGATTCAAGTCTAGTATATATTTAACCGGTGATGAAAATATAAGCCTAATTCTTTCGAAGTTTGTGATGTTTTTGAATTGTGCATTTCCCTGTGAATAAAAGCATTAGTTTTCGTTTATCAATAGTTTGTTACATATTAAGTAATATCATTAACAAGCTAAACGTCTACCTATTAAGACTGTCCTTGGTGACAAAACAGAGTTTTGGATGCGAAAAAACGGTTTGAGTAGGCACACCATAGAAGACACTGTCTTCATAGTAAAATTCTGTGACTATCCTAGTGCACAGGAAAAGTGACGTCGTACTCGTAAAATACATTCTGGTGTGAACAATAGCATTTGCCTTTGTTTTCTTTCCGAACTGTCCACCAGATAACTCAGGGGATTGTGTGAACAAAATCTTTTCAGAAAATAAAACAGTGCCTGCTAGTCGGAAAATTCTAAGCTATACTGTTACTCTTATATTGAGTATATAATTCTAAGCTATCACTGTGGCTATTTACAGAGGAGCACGATGCTCAATCGATCGATAAATAGTTAAGAAAGTAAAAGTAGGATGTGCAATATGAGCAAAACATCATTCCACATCATTTGTCAAAAGCAAACCTTCGGAACTGACAATAGCATATAACCAGTACCAATCAGTGGCGGATCGGAAACATAATTTTCACGGAGGAAAATTCATCATCTACTGTATATACATATACAAAAAATTAGACCATGCATGTAAAGTGTAATTTTTTGGCAAAAGGGTTCGGATGAACTTTGTCTCCCCTCTAGCTCCACCCCAGGTTCCAAATGATAATTTCTCCATAACAACACGAACAGTCAATTATATGTGTTGACTCTTCAATCAATCCACTTACATCAGACAAGTTCAAGCTGCTCCATAAGTATGCAGCTTATAGATGTAAACCCCGGGTGTGCGCATACAATGAGGGGTATATTTAGTCTCTCTCCATGACTCGTATTTACCTAAAGTGAAAACTCAGTGTTTTTGCCTGTACTATTCCGCAACATGATTTGTCGTCAAAAGAACTTTGTACTTGATTTCTGCGTGCTCAAAACCTAATGAATAATAATTATTCACTTAGGTTGGGGAGAAATCTTAATGATCCCTAATTGCAAAATAAACAATTAACGCAATCCAAATAATAAGATGCAAGGGTATAGTCATAGAGTACATTAAATCTCTCAATTTGAAGAAAGGCGGAAGAGTCTGATAAGTTAAAAATCAATTTCTCATTGTATTTTGCAAGTTATAGTTTCTTCTTTTCCAGAATATTTCAAAGATAATTCATCAGATTTCAGTTGATTTGTCACATTTATGAATGATTTTAGGAAATTTGTCTCGTTTACACGAGTTCTTCGCTGCTGAATATGTACTGGTAATTCATGAATAACTTAAAAGAACTATAATCCTGAATTCATATGGTGGCGTGTGAAGTGTAATTACACCAAGTCATACAGATAATGGTTCCCAAACACAAAATAAACCATTAGTGCAATTCAAACGAGAATAATATGCCGGGTCATGTTCAATAAATTTCCCAGTCTGAAAATGGGAGGCAGAGATATTTCTATATTCCTTTTGCTCATAGGCATAAAATGCTTTCCTTTCATGGAGAAAGAATTTTGTTCCTCCAGGACGCGCCATAGAACAACAGCTATGGATATCCACAAAATCTGATTCCGATATAAGAGATATACAGAATGTGGAAATGCAATTGAGACACATTAGCGACTTGACGGGAAGCCACGAGAACATTTCAACGAATCTGAGAGAAGCTCATCACCCAATAGAGAATCCTGATAAGCCAACATGTTTGAAGAACTTGCTTAACAAAAACAAAGTACCGAAGGAGAAAAAAGAACAAATCATCATTTGAACAACGTAGATTGGCATAATATCGACTTATGTACGGAGACTTATGTACTGGTAATGATATATTATACAGAGAGAGTAGTTGAAGTTTGATTCTGGATTGTTTGTTCTAATAGATCTATAATAAGTAACTAAGGACTCACGTGCAACACACGTGTCCAGGAACTAGTTGATTTAAAACTCGAATAGTCTATATCGTTGAAATTTAGAAGTCTTTCTCGTCTTTATTGATAAGTCGCAAATTTGAATTGCCAAAATTGAACAAATGAGGATTCAAGGGAATAATTCAGTTTCCAAGAGTAGACTATAAAACACGAGATACCCTCATTCACTTCATCATTTCAATTCAATTTTTTAGGAGAATATCTTGGCGTCCAAAAAGAGGCATTCGAACCAATAAGGGAAACCCTATTGTGCTTCTTCATTCAATCTAATTATTAAGTGAATAACTCAACGTCCAAGAGGAATATAAACACGACGAAGAGGATACTAATTCACTTTCTCATTTTATTCAATTTATTTTTGCTCATCAAGTCTCGTACTATAAAGAACTCAAATTATGTGAAGGTGAGTTTGATTCTATTCAAATCTCATTTTCTCATTTAATCTATTTTATTGGTTCTGAATTTACGAACTATCTCTAATCGATATGTGGCTCTATTTAGTTTAGCAATGTTTGTACTCACTTTTTTCGTTTTTCTTGAATTTGTGATAAAATTGATTTTTCCTATGTTCAGTCCTAAATTTGATTGTTTTTTTGTCTTATGAGGTTGTTTATTTCACAACTTTGTATGAGTATATCTCAATCTAGTTATGTTTAATTAAAGTAAAACATAATGATGGTCAAAAAAAAAAATCCTCTTTTGTTCAGTATGCTTGAATTACTAAAGAATGAGAAAAAAAGATGCAAATAATTAAGAACCAGAAATTTGAAGAATCGAGAGTGTACATAATTAATTAATTTTACATCTTATCATTGTCTTATATTAATTATTTTTAAATTTTATTCTTATCATTAAGTAATTATTATTTAAGTTAATTGGATTATTAGTGGTCGAATTTAAATTTCAAAGTAACATTAATAAAATTAATTTGGTAAAATAAATACTTAATTAATATTTTTTGTAATGAGAGTGCAAAATACAAACTAGACAAATATAGAAGCACGAAGGGAGTAATTCAAAACTTCCTATCAAAGAGGAAAAAGATATAGAGTACTCCATGTGCAACAAGGAGTACCAGAGAGTACAATGAATAGTTCCAATATTATTGACTTCATCATTATTGTAATTTTCATATCTTCTGTTTATTTATTTATGTCCCTTTTTTAGCATAACAAAATATCTTTAACAAAATATAATTCAATATACTCTATTAAGAAAATTTATATTGTACAAATATAGTTGTATTATAATATATAACATGAAACATGTCTAACATTTAACATCTATCAAATGTTCAATACAAATATGATAAAGTAATGATAATTAAAAATTAAAGTAAGCTAACAATTTCTTAAAGTTCAATAGAATAGAAAGTGTTACTTGATGAAAATATGTATAAACAAAAGTAGACGGTTTCATGAATATTTATAACAAATAATGGGAAAAAGCATTTCTGGTAAAGCTACAAATATATACATGGAGACCTCTTTCTGCCCCAAATATGTTGAAAATATAAATTGATTACCAACAAAGTAGAAATAAATTAATTAGATAACGTACAATAAAACATCCAACCTAGACCATAGATATATAAGGAATTAAATTGTAGCAATTGGCAGTAATACACTCTTTTTTTATCGAAAAAAATATATTTACTTGAACATTTTTGCTGGAGGTGAGCAAAATACAACAAACAAAAAGAGTAGATTGTTGTGGAGAAAAAGGAAAAGAACCAAATGACTTTACATTTTGGCATCTTACTTATATAAAGTGCAAATTAAAAGATATGCAAACTCAAAGGACGAACCGATAACATTGAAAATGTGAAAGATGACAATTATGGATAATTATTACCTTCATTTAATCAATCTAGAATATAATATTCAACTTATATGCGCTCAATATCAGACATTACATTAATTTTGTTGGGATACAAAAATATTATAAATTACATTATGTTATAATAACTAAGAATAAATGTCCAAATTTTGTTATATTATAATAACTTAGAATAAATGTCCAAATTTTATACAGAAAATGAATGTGCTTAATTTTGTCTTTATTATATATAGCTTATCCTTTTTTACTGTGACCCGGGAATAATAACCATATCCAAGCCAAGGAGTTAGATCAATCTAGATAGACCACGTTATGGCCGATGGGATTAGGAAAGAAGCAACGGAAAGATTAAGCGCACTAGCGCAAAAGCCTTTAAAGGAATAATCTTTAAACTAAAGGGTAAAATCGTAATCCATTTTTGAAGTAATATATAGTGATTATTTCATTTTAGACAATTAACTCATTTTATTGATCATCCGAATGAGAATTACAAATCCCAATTAGTTAGCTTTGTCAAATACAGAGAAAAAACCCCAATCCATACACTCTTTCCATTGTTAATTTATATAAACAATTCTAGTCTCCCAATTAGCCTAAGTATCTGATTCTAGGAGTGACTCCAACATTTATTTATTTATTTATTTATATACACTCTTTCCATTGTTAATTTATATAAATGGACTCTACCAGGGATATCTTATGTAATGACCCTAAAGGTCA